ACAAAAAATTATTGCGCTAGCTCTTTTCCTTCTCGTTATATTAGATTTTAAACAAAAAAAATGTGATTTAGCCCATAGTGCGGCGTCTGCAGCGAATGACTCTGCAGCTGTTGATTTGATAACAGCGGCATTCGTCCGGAAGATAATGTGTGGTATATTGATGTTATAGGCGGTGGTTGATCCCCACTGAGTAACAGTGGTTGACTCGAAGAGGGTAACTGTCGCACTTCGGCTAGCGGTAATACCGTCAGGCAGGCATGTGCTTCTGCAGCATCTGCTGAAATGTGTGCGCGAAGCTCTGGCTTTGACATGTAGCCTCTCGCAACTCTTCTACCGTCTTCTTGAAGCCGGTTAATGCTGAAAGTAGGGCATCCATTTGCTCCTGTGACATGTGATCCGAATTGCCCTCGGATACGGTTTGCAGCATCCTCCTCATCTGAATGACGTTCTGCATCCCGACTTGTGCCTCTGGTCGTCATTGGCATGTTATAGGCGGTGGTTGATCCCCACTGAGTAACAGTGGTTGACTCGAAGAGGGTAACTGTCGCACTTCGGCTAGCGGTAATACCGTCAGGCAGGCATGTGCTTCTGCAGCATCTGCTGAAATGTGTGCGCGAAGCTCTGGCTTTGACATGTAGCCTCTCGCAACTCTTCTACCGTCTTCTTGAAGCCGGTTAAAGCTGAAAGTAGGGTATCCATTCGCTCCTGTGACATGTGATCCGAATTACCCTCGAATACGGTTTGCAGCATCCTCCTCATCTGAATGCCCTTCTGCATCCTGACTTGTGCCTCTGGTCGTCATTGGCATGCATGTAGATACGATCCACCTATACTCCAGCGATTAGCCACCAATAACACCAAATTCAGCAGCAACTATCTGGAACTAAGTATCTGGAACCATGTATATGAGGGAAGCAGTATAGTTGTTTTAGGCGGCGAACGGCTATACGGCTTCTCCAACTCGCAAAGTCGTACAGCCCGACTTCGTACAGCAAATGGCGACGTGTCGGGAGGACCATGCGACAACACTAACAGCACACATCAAGTTGAGCACCCAATGTAAAGTATAATTGTTATTATATGAACAATGCAGCAACTATGTAGGCAGTCGTACAGCTCGACTCCTTTTATACGTGCCCTCAACTCCTCGAAATGACCACAGTAGCCCTGCTACTGCAAAACGTGATTTGACGATGACACCTTGACAAAACGCACCAGACAGCAACAATAAAACAGCATACACATATAGCACACGACAAATTCAGCTAAGCGGTCAATGAAGATACGGGAATTGTACAGCTCGACTTTCCAGTGACTTTCGCTTCAAAATGGTGAATTAATGCCGCAAGATACGCGATTTTATTTAATTTTTTAATTTTCTCAACTCTGTTGAGTGACTTCAAATTTTCGACCGCGATACTTTTTATTTTCGCATGGCCGCACGGTTGTCAAAGACAATTGACAAATTAAGAATTAATGCGGCGTTCAGACCATTAACGGCGTTAAATTGCAAGAATCGACAAGAACCACTAAAAACTTTATAAAATAGACTAACTAACTAGACTAGACAGATTCGTGATTGAGATGTTGTTTTATTTAAGTAAAGTTTGGTTTTGGTCTACAAACTATTTCATCAACCACGATTGGCGCGAATTGCAGAAAAACTCGTTAGGCGCGGGTCTTATGTGGTATGTTCTCGTCGGCTTTTGCGCTGCGGTTGACTTTGAGCAATTAAAGGACAAGTGAAAATATGAGTACATAAGTAAATACATAAATGTTCGAAAATGACATAGCGGTAATATAAAATTATATATTGCTGCCGAATGGATATTGTAGTTGACATGTAGGTGGCGTTAACAGCCCTTATTACAACTTTACATATTGACAATATTTGACCGTTTGTCTTAGTATTTTTATTACAAAAATATAGTATAATCTTTAACAAAAACCATATGAATACCAGTTTGAATCTTTGTGTAACATTTGAAAAAATCAACAAGGTTAGGTTAGGTGAGGTTAAGTGGGTGGCTCTGAGAAGAGTTCACTCGGAGGCCACAAAGGCCCATTGCGATGCCCAGGGGGATTTCCCCATGCCTATCCCTTATCCCTACATGTCTTTGAACCATTTCGACTTTCTGGCGAATCCAAGCAGTCCTTCCAGTGGAGCTTTCCCTAAGGTATCCAGGCTTTCATATCGAGGCAAAGGCAAGTTTAGATGGAGCTAGGTCGATCATGCTCACCAGCCTTGCCGCCACGTCGATTGCATATATCTCAGCCTGAAAAACACTGCAGTGATCCGGGAGTCCGTAAACTCTCTCAGAGATAACTCCCGAGAGAAGACTCCAGATCCTGTTCCGACGTCCATTTTGGAGCCGTCCATGAAAATGGGTATTTCATCATCGCTAAGAGCAATACTAAGTTCCCAGTCACTTCTGTTTGGAAAATAGACATCAAAATTCCGATTGAAATCGGTTTCCGTGATAGTCACAGCTAATGTACTCCACCCATACTCTCTCGAGGATTGTGGCGTGACCCGTGCAAGTTGTTCACAGCCTGTTAGACGCCCTGAGTCGTAAAGCGCTTTTAGCTGCGGTACTTTTAACGTACAGGTCTATGGGTGGAATGTCCAGGAGTGTCTCTAGCGCCGCCTGGGGCGTTGAGTAAGTAGCCCCATTTATGCATAAGCAAGCCTGTCGTTGCACCTTTGGAAGATTAAGCAGATGGGTTTTGGTGTCCACCGCCTGCCACCATACCCGCGCACAATAGGTGAGAGTGGGTCTAACACCGCCGTATACATCCAGTGTAATTTCTGCGGCCGCAGCCCCCAGTCTTTCCCAATCGTAGCCTTGCCGGAGTAGAGCGCAATGAGCGCCTTTTTTCTCCGCTCTTCGGTATTTCTTTTCCAGGAAAGCTTAGAGTCGAGAATAACCCCCAAAAACCTCGCTTCTTTTGACGATTCAAGGCTTGCTCCATTGAGGGACGGAGTTTCAAAATTTTCTACTTGGTGAACGGAACAAGTTCGGTTTTGGACGGGTTAACCCCTAAACCGTTTCTTCCTGCCCACCCCGCAAGATCTTTAATTGCGGATTGTAGAATCTCGGTTACCGTGCAGAGGAATTTCCTCACGACCAAAATGACTAAGTCATCCGCATAGGCAACGACCTTGACGGCTTTCGATGCGCGGAGCAGGAATTCGTTAAGCACGAGGTTCCACAGCAAGGGGAGATAACACCCGCCCCTTGAGGGGTGGCACGTGTGGCCGTTTTCCTTACTTCTGCTGTTCCCAGGGAGCCATTGATGCTTCTGGTGCTCAACATATTATCGATCCAGAGAGTGGTCAGTGGGTCCAGTCCTACGGCCGCCATGGAGCAGTGTATGGATGCCAAATTAACATTGTTAAAGGCGCCTTCCACGTCCAGAAAGGCTGCCAGTGCGTATTCTTTGTGTATTAATGCCTTCTCTATACTTCCGACAACCTTGTGCAGGGCTTTTTCAACCGATCTGCCTTTTCGGTAGGCATGTTGCGCCTCGCTGAAGTTCTCAGGAGTAAGACATCGCGAGATCTGCAGACTTAGAAGGCTCCATTATTTTGAGGAGAAATGATGAGAGGCTGATAGGTCTAAAGTCTTTGGCGGTACTGTGGCCTGTCTTTCCTGCTTTGGGAATGAAGATCACTCTTACCTCCCTCCATGGCTTTGTAATATAGCTAAGGCGGAAGCTTGCCCTAAAAATGGTCGTTAGCGAGGCAGTTACCATGGCATTTGTTCGTTGTAGCATGGCTGGAAAGATTCCATCCGGACCCGAAGATTTGAAGGGTTGGAAGGATCTGATAGCCCAAGGTACTTTCTGTTCAGTGAAGATTTGATCAACTGGACTGCCCTGCCTACGGGATCTGTTCCAGGCCGTGTGGTGTGCATTAGCGTCACAGCCAGCCAACATACTTATCCTTCGTTGCTCTGCCCAAACGGTGAGTTTTCTGAAGGATACCGTCGGGGGATCGGGTACATCATATGGCATGTAGGAAGATGTGAGGATGATGTTGGGTGCTCCCCTCTGCTCCGACATTGCCACTGTCACGACCGCATCGCTGAATTGGGGAAGAAAGAGAATATTAGTGTTTTTTTTTAGATAGAATACAGCTTATAATCTTACCTCCAGTCTGTGGGGTGAGAAGCAAGAGACCGCTGGTGGATAGACCTGTGACCCTCCCCCCCACTAGCCAGGGTTCTTGAATTAGGGCCACGTGTACATCTTCCTCACCCAGGAAGAGCATCAGATCCTCCGATGCTGCCCCGCAGTGATGCATTTTATACCTACTGCCAGGTCAATATGGGTCAGATGCAGATCAAGAAGCCGCCCCACTCGGGAACAGACGCTGCTGGATTTGTCGGTAATTTTCATAAAAATTTCGATCTCTTTTTTACTGCAAGTTTAAATTAACTGGGACTTACCGTTGATTTTTGGCAATTTTTTTTTTTTGTTGACGATGTCAGTCATTACGAAGCATTTTAGACGATGTTTTTTTTAATAAGGAGAAATGAGGAGAAAATGAGCAAATTTGGGCTTCAATTCGGATGCTATTGGCGTCGGGTGAATCTGATTCTGGGAGGTTAAAATCACTACGAGACCAATGTTAAATTAGAAAAAGAACACGTGTTGTCTATCCGGTGGTCGCTCTACGAAGGGGCGACTGTCAATTTATTAATACTCAGCTGCCAAAAAGGTGCTCTGTTCACAATGCAAATTAAAGTCATATTTTACAATACATATACATCTATTACATGTTTCTAATTTCTATTTAGCAGCGACCTCTATCGTCCGGGAGTGGAACTTCAACATACTCCCACCGTTGACAAATTTGTTTGTTATTACTTAAATTTTGAACTAGACTATGGCTTATTATAAATAAGTCAAATTGAATGTTTAGAATGCTCCACAATTCGACCTAAAGGCTAATGATTGACTGGAAAGTGATCGTCCTTTATAATCGCCAAATCGTTCATTTTGAGATTAGGTTGTTTATCGGTCCACTTCTTTCGAATCTGCATGGCTGATAGAATTTCTTGACGAAATCGATTCCAAAAATATTGCACCATACGCTCCATTAGTTGATGTCTCTTTACCGGGTTCTGGATAGCGGGTGGCTGTGGCCGCGAAAGCAGCGTGTCCCCTGTCAAAAAGTGCCCCGGAGTTAAAGCGGTAAAATCATTTGGATTATCACTTATTGGTGAGATTGGACGCGAATTCAATACAGCCTCAATTCTTGTGAGCACCGTTGAGAACTCTGCAAATGTAAGTTTGACGTCTCCAATGATTCGCGAAAGCTGAAACTTCATCGAATTCACAGCTGCTTCTGCCAACCCATTAAAATGAGGTGTGCTCGGGGGACTGAAATGCCTCTGGATTTCCTTAGTTGTCAAATATGGTAATATTTCCTTGGATTCGATGCCACTAAATTCGTTTTGAGAACGTTGAATTTTGGTATTGGCACCAATAAAATTGGTACCACAATCGATGTAAACATCGTGACACATTCCGTACGAACGCATGCAAGAATGTTTGCGCCGACAAATCCCCTGCGGCTTCTAGGTGGACGGCGTTTGTAACCATGCAAGTATAAACCCAGACATACCGTTTATAGGTGGACCGGCCCCTACTCTTTGACGTACGAATAAGAAAGGGACCGGCATAGTCCACTGCGGTGGCCGCAAAAGGTCTGATGGAATTCTTAACTTGAGGCGAAGGTAAATCACCCATTAATTATTTAGGCAAAACTGGCTTGTGCCTAAAACACACCACGCATTCGTTGATGATATTATGCGCAAACTTGCGAACATTTAATATCTAATAACATCTACGGGTTTGGCTTACGGTAAGTTGTGGACCCCCGTGCAAAGTGAGTTGATGGTAATAATCGATAACACAAGGGAACAGTGATTTTGTTGCATCAAATGTTAAAGCTTTGATAGACTTTTTTATGCTGATAACGAATCTGTAAGTATAAAGTCTCCATCAGCTCTAGATTTGGAGAAAAACGAGGTCAAAGTGGTTAAAATTCGCGGTTTTTGCAATATTTTAGAAGGTCTAGCAAAAAAACAAAATGTGATAGAATCTTCCACTTAGGCTTGAAATAAAGTCACGACTCTCGGCTACCATCCCTGCTCTGTAACCTGATGGTCACTTATAGTCATTTATTTATTTATTGTGCTATGGAAAGAAAAAAAAATTGCCAAAATGAGTTTTTGCTGTTCAATAAATGACTGTAAGACACCTTAGGGTCAAGATGCAGGGATGGTATTTTCAGGAACTGTAGTCGAAGGATCAAGCCTTAATTTGAGCCTAAGTGTAGGGCTCTATCACCGTTTGTTAATTTCGGTGGGTACTCAAACTTCGCATAAAATCAGGTTTTGTTGTTCAATAAATGACTATAAGTGACCGTCAAGTAAAGGTGCAAGGATGCTATTTTCAGGGATAGCAGTCGAGACTTCTAGCTTTAATTTAAGCCTAATATCACCTTTTGTTTCTTTGTTAGAGCTTCCAAAATACTGCAAAAAACGCGATTTTTTGACACTTTGACCCCGTTTTTCTCCAAATCTAGAGCTGTTGGAGAAATTATACTAACGAAGTGGTAATCAGTATAAAAAAGTCTATCAAAAACAGGTTTAACATTTGATGCAACAACATTTTTTTAATTTTTGTTCCCTTGTGTAATTAAACGAGCGAGGTAATGCTTGGCTGGTACTGGAATTTTTCGCTGTCCGGTAAAAATGCGTTGCGAAGCCGCCCATTTAGTCGGAGAATTCCGCTAATGTCAATAAAATAATTAAGACGAATATGCGGACTTTTCCTTGACATGCTCTTTTTTGCTGTAACGCCTTTAATTCGCCGAAAAAATGTTCATTCTGTACTCAGCGTATCCAGCGTTTTCAACTTCTTCCGCGGTGAGGGGTTTAATATTATGTTGTTGTTGTTGTTGTAGCGGCTACAACAACCCCGCCCAGATCGGTTGGTATCTCAGTCGTTGTCGTCAAGTTCCACTAACGGCAACCCTAGGAAGCGTGCAGCTTCTGTGGGATCTGTCCACAGGGACAGGGCCGTTAGGGTTGTCGGGTTTTCCTGGCATGCGAAGAGATGGTTCGAGTCATGTGGGGTCTCTCCGCAGGCCGGACATTCGTTCGGCACATCCTCATTCAGCCTACTGAAGTAGGAGTTTAACCTGCTGCAGTAGCCGGAGCGAAGTTGAGCAAGTGTAGTGCGTGTCTCCCGAGGCAGATGAAGCTCTCGTCAATGTCCGGGGGTGGTATGCCTAGAACGGCATTCATAGGTCTAGAGTCTACATAACTCGAGACTGAGTCCCTGTGAATGCCGTTCAGGGCCTGTCTGTACGCTGTCGGGTCCAGAGGTTGCTTAATGAACCTCTGGACTTCGTCCGTCAGTTCATATAGATGCCTCCTGACGTGCCTAGGCGAGGGCTCCTCTGCAAGCAGCTGTCTGTTTGGGTGGCCACTTCTGTGGCTCCCGATCAGGAACTGCTTGCAGAGCATTATGTTGTGCTACTTAACTGGGAGCATTTGCGCCTCGCCGTGCAAGTGATGTTCTGGCGACATCAGGAGGCATCCCGTCGCTGTCCTAAGTGCCGTATTTTGTACCGTCTGTAGCTTCGTCCACTGCGTCCTACTAGTCCCTGGCGACCACACTGGCGCTGCGTAGTTCAAAACCGGCCGGCCTATTGCCTTGTATGTTGCCAGCAACGTTTCTTTGTCTTTGCCCCAAGTACTGCCGGCTAGCGACTTGAGGACCTTGTTGCGGCTCTGTACTTTATTGACAATAGCGGTTGAGTGCGCAGAGAAGGAGAGCAGGCTGTCGAATGTTACTCCGAGTATTTTGGGGTTATTCACCGTCGGAATTGGTGTGTCATCGACGTGAATCCCCAGCGGTAGCCTGACCTCCTTCATCCAGGTTGTGAACAGGGTCGCGGAGGATTTCGTAGGGGAGAGGGCTAGACACTTTGCAGTGAAGAAGCGAGAAAGTTCGGAGAGATAGCCGTTTACTTTCAAACACAGGTCATCAATTCCATTCCCAGTCGCCATGATCGAGCAGTCGTCGGCATAGGACACAATCGAGACTCCCTCTGGTGGTTGAGGGAGCTTTGAAATATAAAAGTTAAACAGTAGCGGGGAAAGGACACCACCCTGAGGAACCCCCTGTTTTATTTTTCGCTGCTTACTCGTTTTGTCTCTAAATGTTACCGACGAATGTCGACCACTCAGATAATTTGCCGACCACCGTTTGAGCCTCTGTGGGAGAGAGGAGGCCTCTATATCTTCTAGCAGCGTGGAATGGCAGACGGTGTCAAACGCCTTTGACAAGTCCAACGCTACTAGAATCGTTCTCTCACAGTGACGGTTGCGGTTAAGGCCACGAGTTATCTGAGTGTTTATGGCGTTAAGTGCTGTTGTTGTACTGTGCACTTTACGGAAACCATGCTGATGCTTCGCTGGGGTCAGGTGGTTTGTGAAGTACGGGAGTAGCAAGGCCTCAAGTGTCTTCGCTACCGGGGAAAGGAGTGTAATCGGACGATACGAATCTCCTTTGTTGGCGGGTTTCCCCGGTTTGAGCAGTGGGACCACTCTCCCCACCTTCCAGATGTCTGGGATGATGAGAGTGGCCATTGACAGGTTGAGGACCTCCGTTAGGTACGCTACCCCCGCAGGACCCAAATTTTTCAGCATCAGCATGCATATTCCGTCGGGACCCATGGCTTTGGAGGCTTTCGCCTTCCCGATGGCCTCCTGAACTTCACCGCAAGTGAAAGCAAGGGGGGCACAATTTGTTGGCAGTTTGTGCAGCCTTCTGGTCACTCGACGCTTGGCTTTGTCTACCGGAGGATGCAGTATGAACTGCCGGCTAAAATAGCTCGCGCATCGCTCCGCGTCGGACGAAGCATGGTCGCCGAAGGAAATTTCGACTCTGTCGTCGTGCTTCGTCGGATTAGACAATGACCTCACGGTTGACCAAAGCTTGCTCACACCAGAGGTGAAATTACAAGTCTTCAGGTGCTCCTCCCACTTCTTCCGCTTATGTACGTTTACAAGTTGCCGAATCTCCGCGTTGAGATCCCTGATACGGGGATCTCCGGGATCGGCCTGACGAAGCCTATCACGCTCATCAGCTAGAGCAGCCGCTTCGGCAGGGAAGTTTGGACGTGGGTCCGATATACATCCTGCCGGTATGAAGCGAGCTGCAGCAGCAGTGATAGCCCTGCGGAACTTACGTTCACCGAGGTGGACGTCGGTTGGTGTGGGGAGCGCTGCGAAGGTGTTTTCAGTAAACTCCGCGTAACCTTTCCAATCAGCTTTGGAAAAGTTGATATAGGTCCGGTGTTTGGCGGAGGCAAAGTCGGTTGGTTTATCAATCGAGATGACTATGGGTAGATGGTCTGATGCTAGAGTCAGCATAGGTCGCCACGTTATGCTGTTTTTCAGACCAGCGCTGACTATTGTGATGTCTGGCGAGCTACTGCAGTTACCCATAATCCTGGTGGGTGCGTCGTCGTTCATTGTGCAGAATGTCGAATCGTCTATCTGCTCAGCCAAGTCTGTTCCCCTACGATCGTTTGACAGGCTTGAGTGCCAAAGATCGTGGTGCGCATTAAAGTCACCTACTACCATACGGTTTTCACCTCTGAGGAGCGCACCTATATCAGGGTGATATCCTGCCGGGCAGCAATTGACAGGGGGTATGTAAATGTTAAATATTTCGAGCTCGACATCGCCTGACCGGATAGCGATGCCCTGACATTCTAGGCTGGTATCCCTGCGGTCGATGTCTGCTTCGATAAGACGATACTGCACGGTGTGGTGCGTGATGAACGCTAAGCCACCACCATTATCTCGCTCGCGATCTCGACGGTGCACGTTGTACCCGGCGCAATTCAACAAAGTTGAATTGCTGTGCAGCTTCGTCTCTTGGACCGCAGCTGTTAATATACCATGCCGACACATGAAGACGGTTATCTCCTCAATCTTGCTCTGTAGCCCGTTACAGTTGAATTGGAGGAGCTTCATGTCGTTCGGGAGACGTGTCGTGATGTGGGGTGTGAGTGAGGTGTATGTTCTTGCCGCCGTTGGCTGTGTGTGCTGCTGAGGTGGTTGCCGCCCTGTGGTGGTGGTGGGGGGCGTCGCAATTGACGTCAATCTGCTTGCTTATATTACTGGAACCTGTCGCTAGCATCCTCTTAAGCGTATCATGGTCATTAGAATTGCGTAAATTCCGACCGAATGCTACTAAATTCGTCGATGGAACGCAAGTAAATAGACATACGCCCTCCTTTGAGTTATCGCAGAACACATGAAATACGTTGAATTTGCTTAGAGAAGTCGTACCGAATCATCGGGGGACACTTATTTGGCTTATGAATTGGAATTTTTTCAGAATTTCACTCCAATCAGATTGGATTTCAAAGGGCATTTGGTCAACCCAGCCGACATTTTCCCTCCACAACTGAGTCATGAACAACTTGGCTTTTGTTACGAATGGGTTTAACCAACCTAAGGGATCGAAAAGTCGAGCAATAATAGAAAATATACCTCGTTTTGTGGCTAGAACTGAAAAATTTAATTGAAAATAGAATTCGTCACTGACCGTCGACCTAAGTAGACCCAACGCCTCGATTTCTTTGCTCGAGTTGATTAAGCATTCAGTGCTTTGGCTGCAGTATTCAAGTGGTATATAATAGCGATTCGATAACAGAGCCAGACACAGCCGAAAATAAAATGTATAAAGCCGAAAATACGTTCTACTTATAAAAAGAAGTTTTATTAAACTCGTTCAATTTTTATAACGATGAGAGTGATACAAATATATCGATAAAGATAAGAAAACAAGTGGCGATAGTTATGGATTTGTGTGTTTACTTAAACTAAACGTAAGGCCTTGGTTACAGTATAATAGTTGAGATGCATCTACTAATACCGCCTCTTAATTTCAAACAAAAAATGGATCAGATAATGCACACACATTCTCAAAATAAAATAAAAACGTTAAACTACTAAATTCAATTTTTCACGATGCTTTGTGAATGCGATGCGCCGAATTGCCTTTGTCAGTATGCTAGCCAGCTGATCAGAACTGCATTTGTACTTCAGCTTCACTTCGCCA